TTTTTAATCACAGTTAGTTTGGTTTATATTAAAATAAGTATGTTGTAATTAATATAACGACAATAATACATGTAGTTTGAATAAAAATATAAGTGTCCGGTTCTTTTGTCTTCGACTGTACTCGATGCGATTCGACGAAAATCTGGACAGTGGGGATCGCAGAGCGTCGGGTAGGTTAGCGTGGCATAGCATCGGGTAAGTGTGTTCCCGGCTTTAAGCCGTAGGTACAAAGTGCAACTAAAACATGTAAAGCCACCTGAGTATTGGATATTACGCTTATTTGGTTAGTTTGACAGGTCTCTGTGGTACGTTGGATTTCAAATTAACCCATTTTAACATCAAATTACCGTTTTTTATTATTTTTTCATTTCAAATTGACCATTATTAACTTCATATTACCATTTTATATCAAATTAACCATTTGAACCTTAAAATTGCATTTTTCTAATGTGTTTTATTTCATATTAACCCATCCTTTAAAATATTAAAAAACTTGAGGTGCTAGTTTATCGTTAAGAGTTCATCTACAACTACTTTCACGATCAAATTAGTTATACCTTTCAGCATAAATTATTAAATTTTGACCCAAAAATTGAAGTGTCAACAGGTGTAAATCATTTGTAAATAGAAATATGCGACTTTATACATTGCTCTATCGAAATTACAAACCTAGAATAGCATAACTTTGCTTGTAACACAACAAAAACAAAGTTCATTTACACACCGTTGCTCAAGCGATTCGAGAAACTTGACCGTCCCCCGAGGTGAGGCTGTTGTTAACGATCTGGTAAGCCACTCTGAATAAAACTCTGGGCCTAAATTATCAACCATCCGTAATGATGATACCGTGTAACCTTTTAAAAATAGCCTGGCACGACTGTGCATACTAAGGGTCAATTCCAACCTGTAAACCTTTTTTTTGAATTTTTTATTATAAAACATTCATATAGAATTCCTTACAAAAGGTCCTTTTCATTCTGATATAATAAATAGAAAAAAGTTAATTTACTAGGGTAATTAAAATTTTTGTACGTCCGTCTTGCATGTATGAAATAAATGATAAAAGTAATACAAATCATGAACAAAATATGGTAATATCATAAATTTTTTCTACATACGAAAACACGGTCGTTGTTAACATGTATATGTATGTCTCTAGCACAAAACCCATTAATTACAAAGGAAAACTATTTGTTGAATTAAAATGAAATTGAAAAGGAAATCTACAATATAAGCCCTCAAAGAGTTAAGACTATCGCATTTCATAAATATTTATCCAGTTCTTCTTATTTACCGATGTTTATTAAATCCGAGTTAATTATTTAATACTTTATGGCTTTAACTACGATTGGAGCAGCGGTTTATTACATTATACATGTACAGGCTTACTTATTTATTTGTATCACTGATTATAACAATTTGAATGAATAAGAAAAACGCAGTGGGTGTTGTGAAAGGTCGCGTTTGCGTTGTGCTACTTCGGTAATAACAAGACGGCGTTCACACGGTGTTAATACGTTTCTGCGTTCATAAGTATTTTTTGTCTAATTTAAAGACAGAGTATTTTTTTTTTAATTTTTAATTTCACTTTTATAATTTTTCTTCTCCACATTTTTCTACTTTAACTTATTATTACTATTATTTTATAGTTATATTATTTGTATTATTCTGACGGGTACAATTAAATGATGGATGCTTCCGTTGGGGGGAAATTCCTTGGAGTAATATTTCCCTCATTTCCTAGCATAGCTAAGACTGAAGGCATAATTTTGAAAAATTTTGATGAAGTTTTCATTCAGGATTCTTCCAATAACTACACCAACACAAGTAATAAAAGGAAGTTTAATGACGACTCCAAACTTTTAAGTAAAGCTGTATTTAGGGATGTGTTCGTTATTCAGGCTGATAAAGAAAAGAACCGTAGCCAACAACTACCCAGTAATCGTTTCCAGCAGGATGGCACTGCCTCATTGATATTAAACGTAGGAATTAACGACAGAAATTTAGGAAAAGTCCATCTTATGCTGTTTGGCAAATGGCTCTTTCAAAACAACAATTTAAATAATAATTCTATTAATGGCAATCATGTTGTAGGTAAAAATAGAATTATAATTGGAGTTCAATTTAGCTAAATAGCGGGCTCTGAAGAGGGACATGGCCCGAAATGCATTACCGACTGAAATATTTGCATAAAAAGTAAATGATGTGTTCCATTTCAAATAAATAACCAACATTCTGGAATTAAAATTGTAGCCAATAGAGAAACGACTAATTATTTATGTGAATGTCATATCTTAAAGAAACAAAATGTACACACTAACATTCCGGATTTTCTTATGCAGATAAAAGGGATTATTAGGCATGTAGACACTTGTTTAAGCGAAGAAGAAATCTTGAACAACATATAGATTGTTCCAACATGATCGGTCGATAGAATGAATAAATGGGAAAGACTAGGAGACAAGTTTAAGATCACCTCCCTCCATACACGTGTAATAACATTTATAGGTCACAAGTTGCCAGAAGCAGTTACTGTCCAGTACGACCATTCATAACACCGGTTGTGGCCCGACAAAGGCAGTATTTGAGCCTTCTTTGGCCAGGCTTTCCGCCTCTTCATTGCCATAGTGTCCCTTATGAGCTGGTATCCATATGATGGTTACCCTATTCTCGTGCCTGGTAGTAATCCTATTAATAAGTTCAACAGTTTCCTCCACCACCCTAGATGTTGATAGCTCTTTTTGTAATGACTTAAGACTGGACTGACTGTCGGAAAAAATTCTAATGTCTTTTCCCTTGATCTTGTTATCCATAAGTGTTCTGCTGCAAGCATTAATGGCCCATATTTCCGCCTGAAAAACGGAGGTGTTATTACCAAGAGGGGAGGAGATGCTGATCCCTAATTTAGGTATATGTATTCCAGCACCGCCTCCCTTGCCTTTAATGAGTGAGCCATCGTTAAAACAGTCTAAGCTACGATGGTCATCATCCGCACTATAGTTATATTCACAAGGAGTAACTACCTGAAAGTACTTTTTCCCTGAAGGGGTTTTAACCTTTTTATCGCTAACGCTTAATAGTTGGCGGTTGACCTTACTCAATAATTGCAGAATTTTCGAGTGACCTATGTTGTTTCCCTTATGATTCCAACTGCCTTCACTAATTAATCAATAGCAGCTGGTTAGTGCTCTGACCTTAACCTCTATGTGTAGAGGTGTAGTGTTGGTTATAATCTCAAGTGCTAGCGTGTGTGTAGTGGAAAATGCTCCCGTCATTATCATACAGCCTAGTCTTTGAAATGACCTTAACCTGTTAAATTCCCTTTATTTTCTGGCCCTTTCAATGTAATGATTTCTCCATCCTTCCTACCAGTGAATGCAATGCAGTTTCCACTAATTTTCCTGGTAAATAGGCATGCTGATTGGGATGTATCATGGTATTAATTCCACAGTCATGTCTAATGTATTTATCTAGGATTTTCTCTATTATTTTTATGAAAATAGTCGAAATATGGTACTGATAGAAAGATAGACATTCAGAAAAATCTCTTCGGTCCCTGGTTATAAAAAAAAAGTATTAAGCAAGATGTGCCTTAAAGATGAAAAGGGATGGGATGGACAGAAGAATAGAATGAGCAAGGGAATTTCATAGGGTGGAGGCATGGATGAGGGAAGGAAGCTCCTCCCTACTATGTTCGATGCGACGTCACATGCGCTAGTTGCTCTTTGCACATGTTTAAGCAAACCGTCAGGTGTGCCAGGAGCTCCTTCACCTGGGCCAACAGCACCCCCTCTCTGTCTGACGTGACTTCAAACGGGCCAGTAGCACCTTCACATGGGCTCGTAGTTCGTTGTGCTAACACCAGTGCGAAAACTTAATTTTCTCTTCTTGACGTTGGAACGGAAGAAAGGAAGGAAATGGCGGAATGAAGGAGGGAATTGATCCAAATCCAACAGCCTGGGATTTTTCTATGTTAAAGTTAAGCCCGTTTTCTAGCCCTATGAGATAATTAAGAATAAGTCCTCCTGAATTCCCTCAATTCAGCTTGCATGTCGGTAAACCAAAAATATATTTTGGCTTCTTGTGCATAAAGGTAAGAGAAGCAATATTTTATGGCATTAGGCAAGTCATTAATAAGAGCCGAAATAGAAAGAGGAATTGAGACTCCAGGAGATGGAGATGGGAGCTTATTTGAGACTATTTCTGAACGGTCCTAAAGGAGAGAAAAGAGAAAAGAGTGCAATCAACGAAGGTCACTGGGGTAGAGACAAGATTTTAAATTTAGTAAAGAGATAGATCTACGTTATCAAAAGCTAGTTATTCAGATATCGTGTGATGCGGTCGGGTGTGATGTAGGTTTCAAAAAAACATTTTCTTTTCTCTCTCTCCTGAGAGATGATCTCAATAAAAGATCGAAACGTTGACATGATAAAGAAAATGTTTTTCTGAAACCTACATCACACCCGACCGCATCTCACGATATCTGAATAACTATCGATTAGCGGTCACTAATCTCTACACACGTTATCAAAAGCTTTAGAAAAATCAATAAGGACAAGTGTAGTTATTTAATATTGATCATAGCAGTCTGTATGTTGATGGAGTAGAACATCAGATGATGTGGATGTGGAAAGTGTGTGCTTAGTGTTAATTTATTTTAATAAGTCGATAACCGTTGAGAAGAAAGTGTGTATGCAAGGTCAAATTTAAAATGTGCTGTGCAGTCCACTATCGACCGGGAAGACAGCCGAAATTGCCGGCTAAATAAATCATAAATGAAATTTGCAAGCGGTTCCTTCTTGAATTCACAAACAGGTTAAATTGCCGAAATGTCAGGCCATAATCGATGTAATAATAAATATGGCAACCGGTTTAATGGTCCGTCCGGTCGCGATGCCGTTAAAAATTCAACCGCCTAGTCTCGACAGCATCCTTGGCCGATTTGAAATCTTTCGAAGTACGTTTTCGGCATAAGAATATAGAGAGAAATACCCTTTTACCTGATTCTGGTCCACAGACTCTCGGTATCGTTTCGAGAATTGGAGAACAGGAAGGATCTTCAAAGCAGAGTTGCCGGGCCATCAGACAGTTAAGAGTTTCCACTCTCCCCTTTTCATCTCCTGCAACACAAGACACAAACTTATTGTAAAAAAAGTGAACGGCGTTAAAAAAAAACTTTAGCACGTATATGTACTCATAATTACAAAACTAAAATGTAAAGCTTATAATAAAATAGATTCTGTAATGTATATTTTTACAATTAATGGAAACATAATAAAATATTAGGGCGTTGTTGTGGTGATGGAGAAAGGATGTTAAAAGTCTATAGAGCTCTAGTCAGGCCAAAGATTGATTGCGTTTTCTTTATAATATGGAATATATTATTCAATATTTTATTTTTCTTGAATAAAGTATATATAATTATATATGGTGACGCTTTAACTTTCGTCACTAATTCACGAGATAATTCTATATGCGGAATGGGAGTAAAAATTCTCTATTGTACATAGTCCGATTTTGAATTAAAATCGACGTAATTTATTTTTCGTGTTACGTCAATCTTTCACCACTTTTTTCCATAAATTCAACGTACATCACCAAATGTTAGCGTTCCTATAAATTTCATGGAAAGAGCATTAAACACACTATAAGATTCATATGTTCGATTAATGTAACCTCAACCAAACAAGGTATAAAATTATTTAATCCATAAATTTTTAATATTTTCCAAAGTTCTTGTCTAAAGTTTAATTAAGATTTTCTTAGCTCTAGAAATGCTGACAGATACGGCGCTTACAGAAAAGTTGCCCTAATAGTGAGGTTTAAACGTATGTACAATACTTAATTTCTCAATGTTCAGGTACCACCAATATAAAATTAACGTTTAATTGCTTAAAATTTGAGTTTTTCGTTATAAGTCGTATAAAAAAAGTAGTCCTTAAGTTGTCAACATCAGTAAAAACAAAAAAGTTCAAAAAATTAAATTAATTGTTCCAAATGTTCACTTTGTGTGAAAAGTGCAGGCCTAACATCGTATTTAGACAGATTTGACCACTCTAAAGATTCTTGTTTTTCTTAAAATATAATAAAAATAAGCCAACGATAAACAAAAATGATTCCTTCGTACAGCATTGAGCATAAGAAAAAACAAAAAGCTCCAACAAATTAAATTAAATGTTCAAAATGTCCACCTTCGTGAAGAATGTAAGCCTGAGAAGGTTTCGTGGCAGATTTGATTAGTCTTAAGTTTTTTGTTTTCCCCCAAAAAATTAAAGTAATCCACACTAAAAAAAAAAGATTCTTTGCTACAGAATTGAGCATAAGAAAAAACATAAAGCTTCAAAAAATACAACTAAATGTTCCCAATGTCCACCTTTTTGATGAATGCTCGCCTGACATTGTTTCTTGATCGATTTAACTGCTACTTTTAAGCTTTTTTAATCACGAAAATGAGCCAAAATAAATATAAAGATTCTTTGGTACAGAATTGCGCATAAGAAAAGTAAGTTTCACAAAATTCAATTGAATTAATTTACCTTTTTTTCGAAGTTCACGTAGAGATGAAAAAGTTAGTGTCATGAGCGGGATTCGAACCCAAGACTTGCGGCTAAATACGCAGCTGCTCGAACCACTTATGTTATCATGACTTCGATCTACTCGGACACCAACTTCCCAAACCTACAAACTTTCGAATTTTCCTTTTTTCTCATATTTTCGAATATCGTGTAATCATGTATTTAGAAGAAATGGTGGTAGAAGTGTGAAGAAATAGTAGAAAATTTGACAATTTTTATTTTCGTTCATTGATTTTCTTTGATGTTTCATAATACGATCTATTTTAGTAGAGGACGAAGGATTCACGCACACTATATTAAAATGAGATCCTGGCCGATATTTAACGGTTTATCGCTCGTCCTCGCTGTTTGTGAGAAACAATTTAAATTTTCTTTTCCTTTTCAAACAAGCCGATGTTTTATCTTTTGAGAGCAATGAGGCTCACTACAAAAGGGACAGTGTCATTCTCCGGCCAATTACGTGCGTCCGAGTCGCTCTCATTTGTTCAACAAACCGTGCCCCAGACCAAATCCAGTTCAACTTCTCTCTCTTTTTTTGAAAGGCTCCAATTTTTCCGTTTAATGGTGTCTTATTAAAAATGTAAAAGGTATTGTTAACTTAGGTAACGTTAACTGGGCCCACGCAAAATTTGCAGACGGACGAGCGGATAGCAAGGGAATTCTGTCATTGAACAGTTTTTCAAATTATTTTGAATCTCACTTTTTTGGTAAGAAAGGTTTTAGAAAAAGTTCTGAGAGTTTTAAGATTCTCTGAGGTACTTTTTAAACCAAAACGATAATTTCGAAATTGCGTCATGATAGTTTTTTTTAATTATTAATCTTTCGTTTACGGAGTTCGCTTCTACAGAGATCATACCAACTCCTGGAGTTCCGGTACTTTTGGAGAAAAAGCCGATTTGTTAGTACGTTGGGTCCGAATTCAGGGTTTAAAAAATTTACCGCCTTTTGCACAAAGTTCTCCTGTACAATTAAAGCAAGTCCTTCCAAATATCCTCAACTTAATCTACCAGAGGCCCTCTGACGTTAAAAATGCAATAAAAAATGATTCAAGCAAAGAGGCAGGGTCGGTGGGCCGGATGTGTTCAGAGGTCATGTATAAAGAGCAATATCGATAGTTGGCCTTAGGAGGATCTGGACAGTACAAGAGTTCATTCTCACCCGATTACGAATAGGCCGTGCAAAATTGACACACGGATAGTTCAAGTTGGGCCCAAGCCCGCGTATGTGTCCAAGGAAATGTTGCTCGCGTATCCCATTTAATTGAAGTTTGTCATCCCTTAGCTTCAGATAGAGAGCATGCGCATATAGTACTTAAGATATAACTGTATTTATTAGCGTGAATATGAAGTGTCAGAGAGCGAATAGTGGAATATTGAACACACGACCGAACCCTAAACTAGATTAGTTAGGTATAGATAGTACGAGATAGTATGTGGAAAGGGTAATATTGAGGATATCGAGTATTTAATTGAGGGGTCTCATTCCTTGGCTCCTTATAGAGAGCGCGTAGGAATGCTGCAAGATAAGAGAATTGTGCATGAACATAACAGTGATTATCTGGCTCCCTTGTTTTGATCGATCGATATATAGAGTGTATATACTAGCGTTGAGCACGGCAACGTAGTAGTTCCCCCTGATCCAACTTTTGGAGGAAATAAAGCGTATTTTTCATAGTAGCTGATAGCTGATAGATCTCGTTTTATTCTCCCTACTGAGAGTAATCGCTCAGGATTTCAAGACCTAATTGCGATTCCATAGTTCAGCCATTATGACCTTTCAAGAAGCTTCTGAAGGCTACTTGGTTGGTAATTTTGAAGACACCAACATGCTATCTACGCCAAGAGAGTCAACATCAAGCCGAATGGCATCCAACTGGCCAGTCGCGTGGAGAAAGCGCGCAAATTTTTCAATTTTCTGGCCCTCAATGGAAATCAACTATGTAAATATTTGTATGAATTATTCAAAAAATGTTTTCAGTATGAACTTCCACAAACTTGTTTCTATAGTTTTTACGGCATAACTTGCCCTAAACTTTGCACTTAATTTCAATTGTAGTTTTTAACATTCAATTAATTAAGGTTTTAAGTTGAGATAAATAAGTCAGTGTCACGAGCGGCACACTGAATTATTTATCTCAACTTAAAACCTTAATTAATTGAATGTTATTAATTGGTCAAGCGGACCACGAAAAATAGTGAATGTAGTTTTTAATTTTAAGAAACGGTATTTGATAATAATCTTTATGTCGTTGTTTTTGTTTTGGACAATAGATGACAGACCTGTCCTCATTCAGTGTGCGTCCCTCGCGTTTTTATAGATTCGGGTAGAAGTCAAATGTATTCTCTTTTAGGGTTTGTGCCTCTGGTTGATCGTTGTCTTTCGTAGTTATAGTCAAATCGGGTTTTTTGTGTGTTTCAGACCCGGTCGCTTAACGTAAACGAACCGGCAAACCCAATAACACCGGACCCGACACGCAATAAACCCGGAATTGACTTAAGTGATTGGGGGGGAATTCAATGAAGATAGCGAAATACAACGCCGACAAAAACTTACAGAGAGTAAACTGGGACGATGATAAACCACCAAACTAATATCCATTGTTTAAAATTTGTAGATCATCAGGGAAGCTTGATAATTCGCCCTACTTTCAATTTCTATACCTTGTTGCCATTTATATTCTTAACATAAAAAAGGTGTTTTTGAATTTCACTAAATATTTTACTATTGAATATTAATTTGTTTGGAAAACGGAGTGCGATTAGGGTAAATTGAAATAATGTCGGAGCTCCTGAGTTCTCCTGGTATCCTCTTCCCTTGATTCAACCTGTCATTGACGTTAAGCTATCGATTTTTACGACTTCTGTCTCTCCGAAGAGCCGGCCCTTTTCAGCCAAGGGGCTTTACACACTCCAATTTCAACCATCTCAAACATCCTCAAACCACACGTGCCAACTTTCCGACTTCCATCCCTTTTCCGATAAATATTTATTCCTTCCTGCCACTTTAATAATCTCCAGTCGCCCGGAATAGAAATAATTTCTCGAAGGAATGTTTGCAACTAGAAAATATCGAGTTGTTTATTGTTCAAATTGATAATTAAACCCTGGATACGTTGTTTATCTAATAATTGTAAGGTGAATGTCGGCCAGCTCTCATCTCAAATTGTACAGCCCACAATATGATGATTGTATGAGATATTGTCTTAGTATCGGTGCGAAATTGATCATGTTGACACAAAGATGATCAAAACAGGCAGTTGAACTAGTTTGTAGTTTTAACTTAAAAAACGAATCTAGAATAAGTACAGAGAAAAAATATAAAACCGTCAAATTAATCCTTTTTAATTTCAACATAACAATTTTTAAATTCAAATCAACCATTTACAAGATCAAATCAACAATTTTAAATTTCATATTAACCCGTTTTTATATCAAAATAACAACTTTTAACTTCAAATCAACCTTTTTAAATTTGAAATTAATCATTTTTTAATTCCAACATAACTTTTTTAAATTTCAAATCAGCCTTTTATAACATCAAATCAA